CCCACCCCGAGTGTCCCTGTCCCTTGTCACCCACCCTGTCCTTGTCCCCCTCCCCCCTCCCCGGGGTCTGCGTTTTTGGCAGAGTCCCCCCAAAAGTGTGTGCCCCTCCCATGGGTGTCGTCCCCAGTGTCCCCAACCCAAGGGACCGAGGCACGATGTGGCTTGATGTCCCCAATGTCCCTGACCTGAGTGATGGAGACATCGTGGCTCGACGGCCCGATGTCCCCAGCGTTCCCAACTCACGGGGCTGAGGCACAATGTGGCTCGATGTCCCCAGTGTCCCCAACCCAAGGGATGGAGACATGCCATGACCCGATGTCCCCAGTGTCCCCAACCCAAGGGATGGAGACATGCCATGACCCGATGTCCCCAGTGTCCCCAACCCAAGGGACGGAGACATGCCATGGCCTGATGACCCCGATGTCCCCAACCCGGGGGACATGGGCACCCATTGCCCAAAGCCATTGGGCTGGGACAGGTCATGGCTCGATGTCCTCAATATCCCAAAGTCCCCCAAGTCCCCCAAGGGACCGTGAGACGTCATGGCCTGATGTCCCTGGTGTCCCCAATGTCCTCAACTTGAGGGACTGAGACACATCGTGGCTCAGTGTCCCCAGTGTCCCCAACATCCCCAGTGACCCTGACATCCCCAGTGTCCCCAGTGTCCCTAACATCCTCGATGTCCCCAACGTCCCCAACGTCCCCCACCCAAGGCATCGAAATACGTCGCAGCGCGATGTCACCGAGCCCGAGGGACTGAGACTCGTCACAACTCGACATCCCCAACGTCCCTGAGGGACGCGGGCACCTCGTCACCGCTGTGACCCAAGGGACCGAGACCCAGCACGGCTCGATGTCCCCAAAGTGTCCCCGAAGGATGTGGACACCGCCTGAAAGGACTGAGACATGTCACAGCCCGACGTCCCCAATGTCCCCGAGGGATGCGGGCACCTCGTCATTGCCTCGGCTAGAGGGACTGAGACACACTGTGGCTTGATGTCCCCAATGTCCCCAAGGGACGTGGGACCTTGTCATCACCCTGGATCAACAGACTGAGACACATCGTGGTCTGATGTCCCCAGTGTCCCCAACCCAAAGGACTGAGACCTGTCATGGCCCAATGTCCCCAACGTCTCTGATGTCCCCAAAGGATGTGGGACATCTTCATCACCCTGGATCAAGGGATGGAGACCCACCACAGCCTGGTGTCCCCAACGTCCCCAATGTCTCCAATGTCCCTGAAGGAGGTGGGACACCGTCATCACCCCGGCTCAAGGGATGGAGACCCACCACGGCCTCATGTCCCCAACGTCTCTGATGTCCCCGAAGGATGTGGGACATAGTTATCACCCCCGCTCAAGGGATGGAGACCCACCACAGCCCGACGTCCCCAACGTCCCCAACACCTCCGATGTCCCCGAAGGACGTGGGACATTGTCATCACCTTGACTCAAGGGATGGAGACCCCACCACGGCCTGATGCCCCCAACGTCCCCACCGCGAGGAGCCCCCACCCGGCCTGATGCCCCCAACGTCCCCACCACGAGGGACTGGCCCCCGTTGTCCCCAACGTCCCCCCCGTCTCCCCACCCGAGGGACGGAACCGCATGGTGGCCCGACAGCCCCCGTG